TTCTACTCACTATTTTGTCACTCCCCTGTTAGGAAACATTCCTAAAGGAACTACATCTCTCTCCCTCTCAAACTCTTTCTTCTTGAGTTTTGATATATTTTTTTTGGTGTGTTATACAATGAAATGGAAGGGGGTATTTATAGTTATGAGATAGGGACCAAAAGTGCAAATCTCACCTACCAAGAAGGATCAATTTGCAATACTACCATCTCACTTACCAAGAAGGATCAATTTGCAATATTCTCATCTCACCTACCACTCATTGCATCATTGCTTATCTCACTAAGGAGAGTTGCATCATTGCTTACCTCTCTCATACATCACCATAATTGTTGGAAAAACTAACACATTGAAGTGAAGCAATGCCAACCATTATTTGCACAAATAGCCGACTATAATAACTATTTACTTTTCCTAGCTGGTATACATAAATAATACACTGAATATACACAATTATACACATATTATATATAAATTATACATACATTATATATTCATCGGCTATTTTAAGTTTAAGCAGCTGCGTGAATGGCTATTTAGGTTAATTCTTCAAACCATTATCCCGCTATTTTCTATTTAGGTTAATTCTTCAAACCATTATCCCGTTATTTTCAAAAGAGAAAGGCCCAAATTTGTCTATGTACTATCAAAAATAATTGAATTTTCCTCTCCATTACGCTTTGTGTCCTCTCACTCCCCTGTACTCGTATTTGCCCTCGCCCTTAACTGAGCTCAGAATGAAAAGGAATATTCGCTCATCCAAATCCTTTGAGAAGAAAAAACCAAATTTACCCCTCAACCATTGTTAGAATTACCCTCCGACGACTGGAGCTCCATTATGAGTCAAGAGTAAAAACGAGACTTTTTCCTAACGGCAAGGGTGATGATAGACCAAAAATTTAACTGAGGAAAGGGTTGCTCAATATCAAGAATAAAGAACTTTTAGTCTCTTAAGGTTCTCCTTTCAGAAAAGAAAGTGCTGAAAGGACTGAAGTTCTACCTGGACAAGAAGGTGTCAAACTCATTCACAGGGGAAGTGGGAAAAAACCGTAAAAGCATATGAAATACTGCAGAAGATATTAAGGTGCATGTCACAGAATAAGTTTTCTATACATTAAGAGAAGTGCTACTACATTCTCTAAGTGGCATGAACTTTTTCACAGCCATAGGCTGGAAATCTAGCTTCTTTAGGTTCTGTCAGGTCTAGGAAAAGATAAGCCATACCCCCAATACCTTCAAATAGAGAGTATGGGCTATCTCCTCCATGCATCTCTCCTTTTGCTATTAGCTTGTGAGCTCTATCAAGAAGGAAGCAGGCAAAAGCTTTTGCTCTATACAAATACTCCTCGTTTCCTGTGAGCTGATACAACGATAGGAAGACATAAGCATTCCCACTGATTCCATGGCACATCCCGACACGTTTAAGAAGGCCGCGGTTCCATACTACCTCTGCTGCATCTACTGCTGCATTAAGAAATTCTCTGTCTCCGAAGACCTGGGCATTAGAAAAATCCATGGATTTCCAAGTTACAGTATCAACAAATATCCATAATATATCCCGTCAGACCTTTCTATAACAACATCCTTATATAACAGTCATTCACTATAAAACCCAAGGTTTTCTTGGAATCAATTTTTTTGTTATATTTTACCCCTCTGTAACAACTTTTTACCTATAACAGCAATATCCATCTTTATAGTAGTACACATTTGACATAAAGTAAGGGGACCAATCAATGAGATGCATACATTATAGTATTTGAAGTAAATCGCATTGAAGAAAGTTATTACCTCGGCTGCCTTGACAAGTGTTAGAGCAATCCCAGGAGCTCCATGGCACCAATGGACGAGAACATCTCTCCGCTTATCTTCTTCACTTGCAGGGTAATTTCCACTGGGGAACCGATTCTTAACCATGTACCTTAAAGTTTCTTTGACATCTTCAAGCTCATCTGGTTTCAGTTCAAAATCCATTAGAACATACATAATGCCAGCCAATCCATGAGCTGCACCCCAGTACATCTCACCATACCACTCATACATCAATGGGCTTCTGCCCCTCCCTCCTAATCTCCTTCCATTCTCGATGATTTCATTGACAACAGCAGCCTAAGATACAATAAAGAATAAAAAGATCGGAATGGAGACCACAACCATCTGATTAATGCCTGCTTAGATTACATAAATTACTGTTGCACTTACGGTGTAGGAGGAAGGAACTGTTCCTTTGCCAATATGTTTATTCATGAATAGACAAGCCCAGAGGAATCCAGCTCTACCATAAAGCAATTCATCAGGTAGATCTTTAGTTAATTTTATCTGCTCACACAAACAAATGAGTGTTTCGTAAGTAATCACGATAGGCATAGTAAACTACAATAAACTACAATATGAAAGTCTAGTTATCAACTATCAAGAACAAACCTCTTTAAACTGAGTAACATAGTAAAGAACCAGTTGATCATCCCCCATGTACTTGGCAACAACTGCACCTAGTGCACAAACCCCAGCTCTCCCACATAGGAACGTCACATCCCTATAACTCGTAGCTCAATTTAACACAATAATCAACCTAAAAAGGCCATTTTGTTTATCTTGCTTCCATTTGAAGCATTAAATTAAAAAGACAGAAAGTCATCACTTCCCTAAAGCTCGTTTGAGCAAGAGTAACACAAAAAATCGACCAAAAAATCCCATTCCCGTATTCTTGCTGCCGTTTGAAGCTTTAAATTGAAAAATCCACAAAGGAATGTCAAATAATTAAAACTCATGGATCCAATTGACACATAAAATCAACTTATAAAGGCCCAATCTTTTATCTTGACGACATTTGAAGCTTTAAATTGAAAACCAAGAACGGAGTGTGAGTTATTGATCAAAGTAACACAAAAGAATTAACCAAAAAAGCCCATTTTGGTTATCTTTCTGCATTGTAAACCTTAAATTGAAAACAATGATGCATATAATAAAAAAGGGATTGACTTTTGACCTGGAGTTTCGAGAAGCAGAGTCACAATCCTTAACAATCTGAGAGCAAACAGCAAGGTCGTTCGTGTTATTTGTCACCTGATAGGACTTGAAGAGCAAAAAGGCAGTCCCAAGAGTTCCACAATAGAGCGTAAAGTCTGGAACTTGTTGCCTTGTTAGTCCCCATGACTCTACCACTATCTGTCAGCAACCACACCAGCCATCAATTAGTTTAAAAAACAACAAATATACCTCATATCAAACCAGTTAAAATCAACTATATCGATCCTTAATATCCTTCTACTCCATCTAACTCTTCATCCTTATACACAATAGTTTATCCGAAAAAGAAAAAAATCCTCTACCAATACCATCAGAAGTTCTCTACAAGAATTAGTTAACAACAACTACGCTTCAACCTCAAACTAGTTAATGCTTAACCACAAACTTGTTAACGCTTCATCCTCAAACTAGTTAATGCTTCAACCTCAAGCTAGCTAACGTCCACTATTTAAATCCTTAATATTTATTCAAATTCATTTAAACCCCTTTCATACCAATTCTCAATAATTTACTCCCTCCGTCCCCATTTATGTACTCCCTCCATCACAATTTATGTAACGGTGTTTGACTAGGCATGGAGAAGGAAAACTTTTGAACCTTGTGGTGTAAAATGAGTCATGGCTATTTGTATAGCTATAAATCATCTCACTAAGGGTTAAATAGGCATTAGAGTAAAATTGTAATTAAATATAGAAATATGTCATTCTTTTTTGAAGAGATTACAAAGGAAAGAGTGTGACATAAATTGAAAAACAGGAAATAACACTTTCTTTTAGTATGCCCCATGAGGAATTGCACATTTTTATATTAGAAATACTTAAACTTTAAACTTCTCGTTTTACCTTTAGTGAAATATTTATTGTTACACAAATATCTATAACTTATTTTAGACCATAAATTTTAGAAATCTTTCATTCTTTCTTAAAACTCCTTATATAGTCAAATGCTATCACACAAATTGGGACGTAAGGAATAGTATGCTTCAACCTCAAGCTTAGTTAACGCTTACCATATATATCCTCAATATTTATTCAACTTCATTTAAACCCCTTTCACACCAATTCTCTATAATTTACTCCCCCATCCCAATTTATGTAACACCTTTTTTTTAGCATGTCACACAAAGAATGCCACATTTTTATATTTTAAAATAATTAAACTTTAAACTTCTCATTTTACTTCTAATTTGATGATTTATAGCCACACAAAAGCTTGTTTTAGACCATAAATTTTAGAAGTCTTTCATTTTTCTTAAAGCTCCTTACATAGTTAAACACACTCACATAAATTGGGAATGCTTTAACCTCAAATTAGTTAACGGTTACTACATAAATCCTCAATATTTATACAGACTACATTTATACCACTCAATAATTGTCCTTTACAACAAAATTATTAAAAAAAAAATAATCTAACACTATAGAAGTTCTCTTTACGAGAATTATGAAACCGTATAAAATGTGTATAAGGAAGAAGAGAGTTGTTACAGTTTCTTTGAGATCGAGAGCGGTGCGTTTGAACTTCTCGGATAGAGTATTGTACGGTGTGGACAGAAGCTTCAAGAGTGATTCATTTGTGCCTTGTGGAATTGGATGCTTTTCTTCTTCAACTGCCGGGTTTTCTGCTACATAATCCGGCATTACATTTGGATAAAATCGATCCGCCATTTCTGCAATTCGGTTGAAAATCCAAAGAATTTCACACACACGCACACAGAGAGAGAAGCTTTACTAGGCCGAGCGGGTCGATGGAATCGCCACGTTAACTAGATTTGAGTAGACTGTGGACTCACCAGCCTTACACGTTGTACTCATCGTGGGATTCATTATGGGAAAACGACGTCGTCGGTGGAAATAATTTTCTTTTTTGCCACCTTCATTTTCTAAAATAAATATATCTTTTTTGCGTAATATGAGTCTTTTGACATTATTAGGACTATTTATATTGAGAATGAGATCTACCCAAAATAATTGGTCTAACCGAAAATGCTAAATTTTGTATACCATTACATTTTTGGTCCACCTTTGTAATGATCCGACTTGTTATTTTGAGAACTAGCGTCTCGTTCAGCGGTTTAAGACCTCGGGTAGCTTTGAAAAATGAATCATGACTTTTGTGTGTGGTCTTTCACACCTCCTTTTTCCGAGAGGATATGTAGTTTTTCCAATTAAAGTATATTAATCGAAATGAGATTATTTACTTATTCTTAGAGTCGCCACTTGGAATAATTTATGGTGTCCCAAGTCACCGGTTTATTTTAAATCCCAAATCGAGAAAATTTGACTCTATATTTACGATCTGCGAACACAGAAGACCGGGTAAGGAATTCTGTTAATCCGGGAGAAGGTGTGAGGCACTCCCAAGTTTTGTGGTTTTAGCACGGTCGCTCAACTATTAATAATTGGCCTAATTATCTGATTTATTACATATTTGAGACCTATTGTGCATTTTTAACAACATTTTAATTGCTTTTAGGATTTATAAAATTTATTTAAATAAATCGCGATGTCGTGCACTTATTATTTTTGTACACATTGCGAATCGCATCACGTGAAACACATCCGTGATTTACAACATATTTATTAATATTATTTGAAGTTATGGTCAAGTCGAGTGAAATGCGCACTCGAGTTGGGGTTTACATATTATGACTATGCCATGGGCGCCGTACCCATAATCATGACAATCATTTCATTAATCGCGCCTAAAGCAACTAGCGTTTAGAAATCTTCCTTCTATTTTGGAATTATATTTGGCGAAAATCAATTAGTAAAGGATAAACGAGCCGACTAGCTTGTTCAGGCCAAATAATGACTCGATTTCTCTTTTCAATTGTCAAACATCTGAAATTTGGTCCTTATTTAAGAGCAAATTACATCTTCCACTCTCATAACCACTAAGTCCACTCCTTATACCTTAAACTGGACATTCAATATAACTATTAGGCTTAATAAAAGAACGTTTCAAGTAAATGCCCAAAATTAACTACCAGCCAATAATCACTCCTAAATAATTGTATAAATACTCAACAGTAACAAAATTGCAACTAAATAAATCAAACTAATGAACAGAACACTAAAGAAGTAAGAAAAGAGATGTGGAACATACTAAAATGGGTGGAAGTCCTTCGAGCAGAAAACCCCTACCTCGGTCTGTGAAGTGCTCTGAAGACTACAATATTTGTATTGACAAACTTTGTTTTGAATATTACATCGGTACTTCAAAGTCGAACAAAACAAGAACTTGACCACTAATCGGAGCTCGAAACTTTGTTGTTCGACTGGATTCTCGAACCCAAAAAATGCCACTATTATGAGTAAAAAAAAAGCTATTTTGTGGCCTGTTTGGACTATTTTTCAACCTAATTTTACTACCAATTGTGTGCTGGTTTTTACATTGGATTTAAGGTGGTTTAATGCATGTTAGGTGGTTGAGATCTGGAGGAAAATGGGTGGTTTATATGGCTGGATATAGAGGAAAGAATGATGGTATTTAGGGTGATTTTGAGCAGCAATTGCTGTGTTTTTTTCACCCTCCTTTGTGATTGTAAGTATGAGAAGATTAAGAGAGGAAGGAACTGTAAGAGATTTAAGAGGATCCTTCCCTTTTCTCCCTTTTTTTGCCTCTCAATTTCCTATGTATCTATGCCCTGTTATGCTCGTTTTTCTTCAGTCCTTTTCGTGTTCTCCTTTTTTCTCCTCTGTTTCGTCCCTTTTCCTAAATCTCTATTTTGGTGTGTGTGTGTGTGTTTTTTTAGGGTAAGGATGGTGAGTCTAGGTAAAAGAATATTTTATGAGTGGGCCCTGGGTGAATAGTGGAGAGCAAGAATAGAAAAAAAGAGAGTGTGTGCTGTGTATTTGCAAAATATGTTACAAAGTTGGACGGGGAGGAATCTTTGCTAGTTGGCCAATTGTGATTGGTTCTTAATTTTTTTCGATGATTTGCTTTTTGATAATAAATAAAATAAAGTTTACTCATACTAAATAAGTAAATAAAAAACGGTAAAATTACTACACTCAATATTTAATTCTTAAAATCTCTCACTTAAAATTAAATTAAACTAATTAAAATTATATTTTTTTTGGAATCTTTTCTTTCTTTGTCAAATAAAGATAAAACCTATACTAAAATGTGACTCTTTTTTTTGTGACTTTAATTTTTTTAAGTAAAACCTATAAAAGGTGAAATAAGAGTTAAAATTTGCAGAATAAACTTAAAATATATTTACATAGTAAAAAGTGATTTAAAAAAGAAATTCAATCATGCTCAAAAATTAGGTGCTCACATGGTCGAGTTTGGTTTTTGGATGATTTGGGATCAATTTGGAAGAACAATTCTTATTTTGGAAGCTTAAATGAAAAGAGTTGACCGGACTTTTGTGTAAATGACTCCGGAATGGTGTTTTGATGATTCCAATAGATTTGTATGATGATTTTAGACTTAGGAGCGCGACTGCATGTTGATTTGGAGTTTCGTAGGTCGTTTCGACGTAAATTAACGAAAGTTAGAAAATGGAATTTGAAAGTTTGACCGGAAGTTGACTTTATCTATATTAAGGTCGAAATCCGATTCCGGAAGTTTGAATAAGTCCATAATGTCATTTATGACTTGCGTGCAAAATTTGAAGTTAATTGGAGTTGTTTTGATATAAATCGGCATCGGTTTCGGAATTTGAGAAGTTCATAGTTCATAGGCTTGAATTTGGGTTGTGATTCGTAGGATCAAGGTAGTTTTGATGTTGTTATGTGTGATTTGAGGCCTCAAATAAGTCCGTTTTATGTTAAGGAGCTTGGTGGTGTATTCGGACGGGGTCCCGAGTGACTCGGGTGAGTTTCAGGGTGGTTTTAGACTATTTCTAGACCATTTTTAGTTGCTAGATTTTTGCTATAGCAGTGTGCATTGTAATTGCGGGGAATTGGACGTGATTGCGAAGAGTAAAATGGGAAATATTGGCCTATTAATCGCGATCAGGGAAGGCTTTTCGCAATCGGATAGAGGAAAAATTTTGCTATACTTACCCGACTTTGGAAGCTTATATCTCACAATCTATAAGGAATTTGGAGATAATCTAAAATAAAAGTTATAGAACTTTGTGTCTAGTTTTCAGAAAATTAAACTGTTTGGTATTGTCACGACCCCAACCTCGGTCGTGATGGCGCCCAACACATTGCTAGGCAAGCCTGAACAACTATCAAACACAACCCTTTTTCTTATAAAATCCATTATCAGCTAACATAGTTTAATTATCAAATTAACATAATAAGGTTCTGAATCAGCAAGTTAAATATGCGGAAGTCAAAAGATAATAATACTACATAGCCCACACTGATTCGGTGTCACAAGTCTCGAGCCTCTAATACAAGTTCAACCGCCTTCTACACAAATAGTGTAGGAATGCGGAATATAATAGAAAGGAAGGAAGAAATCAGGGCTGCGGACGCCATGCAGCTACCTCGATACTCCCGGATAATGCTGATGGAGTGGAAAGCTCTCACTCAGCCTCTGGAACACCTGGATCTACACGCAAGGTGCAAGGAGTAATGTGAATACTCCGACCCAGTGAGTAATAAGAATAAATAATGACTGAGAGTAAGAAATCACGTAACACAGGGTAATCTATAATGTGGCAGTTAAACAAGTGGTATAAAAGCAATAAACCAATGAAAAGCGGAATGAGATAATTCTACAATAGATAAGCAGTTAAGTGACAGACAGTTAAAGAAAAATAAACACGTAGAACAATACTAGCCCCTCGGGCTCTCTCTTTCATATCACAACTGGGTACCCGCGCTCACTGGAGGTGTGTAGACTCCGGGAGGGGCCCCTTACGGCCCAAGCGCAATATCAAGCCATCTCGTAGCATCAAATTTAGGCCCTTGGCCTCATATCAGTATCAGCCACCTCGTGGCGTATATATGTTTCTTAGGCCCTCGACCTCATATCAGTATCAATGTATCCTCACATCTGGCCCTCGGCCATACTCAGTCTAGAAATATCACATAAGCCCCTCGGGCATTAGTAAAACAGTAGTCCTCAGCCTAAAAGATCATTTAAAATATCATTTTAGTTCTAAAACCGAGTAAAATGTGGCTGAGTTGTAAAACAGTGGAAAACAGTATGACTGAGTTCAAGTAGTAAGCCAAAACAGTGAGGAAATAGTGATAAAAATCTCCGGAGGGTTCAAATAGTTGGCACGAAGCCCAAATATGACAATTAGTCCAAATAATGATGATAACAAATAAGTTTCAATCAAATACGCAGTAAAATCATCAATCGGGACGGACCAAGTCACAATCTCCAATAGTAAACGACCTCACACTCATCATCAAGCGCGTGTCTCACCTCAATATAGCACTACGATGTGCAAGTCCGGGGTTTCAAACCCTCAGAACATCATTTACATTCATTACTCACCTCAAACCGGCTAAATCTCTAGCTCCCGACGCCTTTGTCTCTCAAATCGGCCTCCTCGCGCGTCGAATCTGACCAAAACCAGAACGAATATGTCACAATATGCTAAGGGAACAAAGCCCAAGCGAAAACAATCGAAAAATATCAAAAATCCCGAAATTAGAAAAACCCGAGCCCCGGGCCCACTTCTTGAAACTCAGAATTTTTTACATCATTAGATTCCTTATCTCCTCACGAATTCATACATATCAAAAATACCCGAATCGGAGTTCAATTGACTCCTCAAATCCTTAATTTAAGCCCTCTTAAACTCAAGCCCTAAACCTCCATTTTTTGTCCATTAATTCCTTAAATTTCAGTCCTAATTCATGATGTGTGTTTTAAGTCCAAAATCCTTACCCCCTTGAAATTTCTCT